AACTAAATGATTTTTCTTTAAATATGATTAAATTGAAGCCAATTTTCAAAAAATAACTACTTTATGATTAGCAAGGTAATACATACTCCGTAGTATATTTGAAAAATGTGATGTCAGGATCAGATTTTTCAGATGTCTGATGACCGAAATAATTAAAACTAAACTTATATGACTAAATAAAACGATACTAACGTATGTTATCCAGTTCAAAGTTAAATTATAATAGCCAAACACTTTTTAAATTATTTTAGCCCCTAAGAGAAATATGCATGGCATACAATTGTAGTTATTCTCCTTTAAGTTTTTAAAGAATGTATATCATGGTGCATGATTTTTGCTGACAATATTGTATTGATTGATGAGGCGCAATCGGATGTTAAAGCAAAGTTGGAAGTATGACGACAAACATTGAAATCAAGGATTTTCAGACTGAGTCAAAGCAAGACAAAGTACATGGAGTAAGTTTGGCGGAGGTGGAAATAGTAGTAACAGTGGAATTACCCTTGATGACAATGAAATACATATGTGTGATATTTCTGTTACCTGGCCTCCATAATTCAAAAGGATGGTGAATTAGATGAAGATGTATCCTTTAGAATCAGAGTAGTGTGGATGAAGGTGAAGAGTGCATCAAGTTTTTTATGTGGTCGAGGTATGCTGACTAGACTAAAGAGTAAATTTTATCGGACAGCAATTAGGTCTGCATTATTATTTGGATAGAGTGTTGGACGGTAAAACAATATCACATTCAAAAGATGAGTGTGACATAGATGTGTATGTTGTGTTGGATGTGTGGAAATAACAAAAAAGAGCGCTTGAGGATGAGATAATCAAACAAAAGGTAAGAGTATCATTTGTAGAAAATAAGATGCAGGAACCTCGACTGCGGTGGTTTGGTCATGTGCATAGAAGACCGAGTCATGCACGTGTTAGATGACTTGAAAGGTGGGGAGAAGAGGCAGAGAGGAGAGGGTGAGAAAAACCCAAACATGCTTGGATCAGAACGGATATGCTTCTTTTTGGGTTAGAAGAGAGTATGATTTTGGATAGAACAAAGTGGAGAGCGCATATTCGTGTGGAAAATTGATCACTTCTCTCTCTTCCTTCTCCTTATTCTCTTGTTATTTATCTTTCTTTTCTTTCTATGTTCTTATGTTATTCTTATTTTTTATCTTTCTTATTCTCTTTTATCCTTTTATTTTTTTTATCTTTCTTATGTTCTTATGTTATTTTTATTTTATACTCCCTCCGTCCCTTAAAACTTTGCCAAGTATGACCGGCACGAGGATTAATAAAGTAAAAACTGTGTGATAGAGATTTATGCAGAGGAGTGAAAATTAACTGGAACCACGAATTCTTTAGGGAAAAGTGGCAAAAACAACTAAAAAAGAATGTTGTCAAAGTTTTAAGGAACGGAGAGAGTATTTATCTTTATGTCATCTATTTTATCTTACTTTATCTTTTTATTCTTTTTATCTTTCTTCTCTTTTTGACTCTGATATCATGGATCGATTTATGTTAATGGACAGCAAAATCTTTTGGGAATAAGGCTTGATGTTATAATGTTAAACCATTTATACTCTCAAACCATAATTATAAAGCACTACATGGAATTATGACTCTTCCAAATGGGTGTTCGAACTTTTACTAAATCAAACCGTGAACTCTTTTAAATATCAGATGGCTAAAATGGTTAAAACTAAACTTGCACACCTGATTCCAGGGCCGTAGATGAGGCCGTGCAAGAAGTGCTACTGCACAAGGCTTCTCAATTCAGAAGGCCCAAAATTTTAAATGTACTATACATAATACGGAATATACAAAATCCTTATTTATTTTATTAAAGATTCATATCTTAGTACTTTTGTAAATAAAAACATTAAATAGGACGGAGTAACATTTATTTGTAATTAAAATGGAATTGTTAATTACAATATAATTGTGCAATTTCTTTATTACATAAGCCTATTTATAGTAATTAGCTAAAAGTCATTGTGCATTTTGAGAAGAGCTTGCATACTACTTTCTCTTCCATACTTTATCATTATTTTACTCTTCTTAATATATTTTCTTTTCTACTTTTTCATTTACGGTTTTCTTCTAAAAAATCACAAAACACTAATTAAGAAGACTAGTATATAATAGTGGGAGTATTAACATTGTGTCTTATACGTTAGGGCCTCATATTCAATTTTGAACAAGGTCTTTTATATGACAGGGCCGGCCCTGCCTAATTCCTAAATGTAAGCTTTATTATAGAGCGTTTCGATTTTACTAGACTTCGAGTAATAGTGTGAAAAAACTAACCAACTAACACCAAAGTTGTATTTGTCGCTCTCAGTTTAGTTAACTTGGTTGAGTTAAAAATAAGGAAAATTCTTGGTGTACACCCTGGGAGTACACCCTAATTATTTGCCATTCACACAGATAAAAAACGCACAAATACAGACACTTTTGGTAAAGCTGTCGGTGTGAAGAAAATTAGTTTTCAGATCTGCCAGGCTGGTTGCACGGAAACCAATGTCGGTGTACACAGACACTTGTTGTTGGTGTACACAGAAACTAGTTGTCGATGTAGACAAAAAAGTGCCGGTGTGAACAAATTTGGTTTGCAAGTCTGTCAGGGGGTTGGAAAACCAGTGTCGGTGTACACAGATATTAGTTGTCTGTGTAGAAAAAGTTTCTGTACATGTACAATTTTTGTCTGTGTGCGCAGACACTTAAAGGAAACCGGTGTCAGTGTGCATAAAACGAAAATTGTACATGTACAAATACTTTTTCTACACAAACAACTAATGTCGGTTTACACTGACACCGGTTTTCCAACCCTCTGGCAGATTTGCAAACCAAATTTGTTCACACCAGCACTTTTTTATCTACACCAACAACTAATGTCTCTGTACACCTACATTGGTTTCCGTGCAACCAGTCTGGCAGATCTGAAAACTAATTTTCTTCACATCGACAGTTTTACCGAAAGTGTTGGTATTTGTGCGTTTTTTGTCTGTGTGAATGACAAATAATTAGGGTGTACCCCAGGGTGTAACCCAGGGTGTACACCAAGAATTATTCTAAAAATAAGGTCTGAAACGAGACCAGGACCAATATTTACAATTCCGAGCCAATAACAATCACCCACCATCCCAACAGGACAAGTATTAACAATTCTGAGCCGATTACAGGAGTCTTTGCTGAAGCTTTTAAAAAGTGTTTTCATCTTTTGACTTAAAAAAACCTGAAAACAGTGTTTTCAAATGACCTTAAATTAATCACGTAAAAGCTAAAAGCTGGAAGTAGGTGGAATGGTGCTTTAAACTGCTTTCGCTTTTTTCATTACACAAAAAACACTTATTTTATCAAACACTACAAACTTTTACTTTTTCAGAATCACCTTTTTCTCAAATACTACCAACTTTTACTATTAAGTATTTTCTTCAAAATCACTTTAAATGAATATTAGTCCATAAAATTTATTTATTTATTTATTTATTTAATTAATTATTTATTAAATGAATATTACGAATTTATATATTATTTTTTTAAAAGAACTGATAAGATCATCATTGGGAAAATGAATGAGTTTTAATCATATCTACAATAAGTTTCGCAAAAAAGAAAAAAGGAAGAAAAAGAAATAGAAAAGGGAAAGTAGAAAGTGAAGGGAAAAAGAAAAACTGACGTGACCGCCACATGTATGCCCACATCAACTTCCCACAATTAGTGATGGACTGGGACGGGCCGCCCCGAACCAAATCGGTACTGCTTCGCCCTGGCCTGGCCCGGTCAACTGGGACCAAGCCCGGTGACCTTATCCGGGTTTAATGAGGCGGGCTACGGGCTGTGTTTTAAGGTGACCGGCCTAGCCAGGCCGGGCCCGGCCCGGCCCGAGCTTAATTAACTTTTTTTCCCATTGGGCTGGGTGCTAGGTGGGTGGGGCTGCGCGGTTTCGGGGATATGGGAGTGGGGGGAAGTTGGAATTAATTCAAAAAGACAATATAAAAAAAGGAAAAATTGAAAATAATAATCCCAACTACTACCGGTCCGTCGACAATAATCCTAACTATTAATTATTTTTGTATAATCCCAACTATATGGACCGTCCGCCAATAATGGTCCATGACCAGATATTATCTCTTACAACTAGTGATTTTTAAATAGAAATTAAGTGTAAAAATTAAAAGTTAGGATTATTTATAAGGGTTACTTGCTATATCTAATATCTCTTCTCATCCACTTTAAAAACTACAAGAATTTATTTATAGGGACTATTATTGGCGGAAGGTCCCTAAAGTTGGGATTATTCTGAAATAATCAATACTTGAGATTATTATGGGCGGATCGCCAATAGTTGGGATTATTACTATCAATTTTTGTCCGACCCGATCCTAACCCGGGTCGAAATCGGGCCTGAATATTGCACCTGAAGCCCGTCCAAACCCGGCCCAAAGCCCGGCCCAACCCCTTATTACAATCACCCAACAGTCCCCTTTTTTATTTTTTTTTTTAAATATTCTTTACATTTTTTTAACCCCCCACCCCTCCTCATCTTTGTCATCTTTTAAATGTAATCCCATCTTTTTTAAAGTGCAAAACGAATGAAAATAAATGGGACCATAATGCGGACTGATGATGTTTTTATTAACTCAAAGTTTCTAGCTTGGTCTGATCTAATAAATGTCTGATCTGTGTATGGTTGGAAAAAACCAAACTGAAACCCGGAAATCGACCCTGAACCGACCCAAATTATGATCCTGGTTCAAGTTTTTTCTTTTTAACCAGTCCGAATAAAAAAAAGGATCGAACCCAAAATTCCGGGCGCATTAACGGGCCTTAAAATCTATAACCCAGCCCGGACCGATAAAAACATGAAACAATCCTTATACTTAATAGCTATACAAATCAATCTTTACCGTTCATTTACAGATGATCTCACCGTTCATCTAAAATTGATCTGCACCCTTCATCTAAATACATCACCCGTCTCCTGCAACTCTTCTAAAACGATATTCTCCTCCTTCTGTCACTGCAACTCTTTCTCCGCCGATATGTTGCTCTCGCTGTTCATTTGTAATAGGCTCCTGATCTGAGTGCTATCGTTGTTCATATCAACCATAGGCAGACTAAGCAAGGCTCGATGGAACTTTCGCTGCAAGGGGGTGAAGGCGAAGCAGGTGGTTATCGGACTGAGGCATCACCTCCACCGCCGCCGCCGCCGCCACCAAAACGTTCGACGTCAAGGTTTTCTCAAGGTGATTATTTGAATTTAGTCAATTTCCAGTCCGATTATAAGAGTTTCTTTAATTTTAAAGCTGATTAATAAAAATAATAGTTCATTCAAATCAAGATTGGTGCCCAACAAATCGACCTCCAGTGTAATTTCTTCCCAAATTTTGTTTTGTTTCAAAATTTTGTTTTAATCACCTTGCTCGAAAATGACTTCTTGATTAAACCATCTTTGAGTTGTCAAAACACCTTGGGTGGTGTAAAGCTTATTAGTTTCTGCTTTAGATTACTTTTGTCTCTATCATATCTCGACTTTCAAACACTTAGGTTCTCGCGTAATCGTTTCATGGGAGACTTATGTGTAAATGTTTTCACTTGCAGTACACTCCTACTAATGATGTTGGGAGAATGAATTAATGAAGTGAGCAATGAGTTCTCTATAGGCTTTGGGGTTGAGCAATGGGAGGAACTCCTAGAATAAGCTCCCTTCACCCTTTGTGCAGGAGGTGATGATATTCTGCGGTAACCAAAATCAAATGTTATAACCTCAAGCATGGCTGATCAGTTTTTTTAATGAAGTGTAACACGAAAAGCAGTAAATTCTCAAATTTTCATTTTGTGTTAACGTTTTCAGATAAGAATGTTCATTGTTCATTTCCCGGATCTTTTAATCAGTCTACCTATTGAACTTTGCAATTGACATTGAGGGTTTCACAGAAGAAACACAACCTGAGACTCTGAAATAGTTATATACCAGTTCTAAGCAAATTTGCCAATTTCAGAAATAGTTATACATTCTTTTACAACAACTATGCTGGAATTTCATATTGGTATTATGGATTTATCTTCATAGCGGTTGGGTAATATGATTTTATTTCTCCTGGATATGTACACATTGCAGTGTCACCCAGTAGTTTACAGGTTTACTTGGTGGAGTGTATTTTTTGCATTCATTTTTCACTTTCTATATGTCAAGGCCCGCAAGATATTTCTCATTGAGCTAGGAGAGAAACCCACTGATCCTCTACTCTGACATAGCGGCTAAGTAATACGGAGTATGATTTTGTTTGTCATGCATCTGCATACATTGTGCTGTCACTCGATAGTTTACATGGTTACTTTGTGTAGTTTTTTTTGCTTTTGTTTTTCACTTTCTATATATCAAGACAATATATTTCTCATTAAGTATACTGTCAGCTTTTTAGAAATATAACTTCACAAAATTTAACTTCATAGTGATCTTTCTTCAACTCTAATTGATAATAGCAACAATCTCATTTGAAGCGGCAGAAATATCCACAAAATGTCTCTGGTGACAGATGAGATGAGGCACAGCGCAACAGAGTTATATGCGAGAAACGAACTTTGCCAGGAGAAATGGGGCTGCCCGCAGGGATGCTGCCCATGAAGGACATGGAGGAGTGTGGCTATGTCAAGGACATCGACTTCATGTGGCTCAAGTCCAAGAAGAAGACCAAAGTTCGAGCAAATCGGGAAAGCTGGTGCAGTTGGGTGCGAGGTGATAGCCAATGTGGAGCAGAACAAGATCAAGAAGCTCACAGGGTTCAAGGACAAGGAGCTGCTGCTGTGGGACACCATCAGCGAGATCTCTGTGGATGACCCACCCACCGAGAAGATCTACTTCTACAGTTCTCTCGGCATAGGCAAGACCTTTCTGGTTTCGGCTTTCGAGATCCTGAAGGAGGAGCTGAAGAAGCTAGGGGAAGTCAAAGAGGTGTAATACTGTAATGATGAAGGGTAGTTACTTTCATCTTTTGTGTCCTTAGTTGAAGGGTAGTCCGATGTCACTATCCCAGACAACGGGAAAATGCATAATCAAGCTCAGATCTGTACGCACGTCTTAGCTACGTACTCCTTGTTCTGTTTATCAAGTCATAATAATGTCATAAGGTCTCTGCCGTTTCTGTCATCCTAAAATATATTCTTATCAATAGCAACTTGCAAAATATTCCCCCCCATCCCCTTTAACGCTATGTATTGAAGTTACTTTTCAAGAAAAAAAACACTTTAACTTCATAGTAGTTCAAACTTCTCATCTTAATGTTAATAACTACAGTTTTACCTTTTTGTTGGGCATTTATTAACATCAACAATATCAATAACTATATATACATAATCAGCAATTATCTAAAATCCATTTGAGTAATTCTTTATGAAACTTTAAATTGATCTTATTGAACTAAATATTTACAAACTTCCAAAAGACGTAAGTTCCTATAACTATTTATATTTTAGATTCATTTTTACCTCTCTTTTGTTATTTGGACCAAGAAAAGGCCTATGGCAACATGCCGTCCACCGCATGAGGCAAATTAGGCAATTGAATAATGCTTTAACAGATAAGGATAAGGTGAGCAAATCCTTCAAAAAAATTATGTAACTTTTTAATACTTCCTCCGTTCCAGTGGACTTTGCCAAGTGTAAAGTAGGTGAGAAATAAGAATAGTAAAAACTGGATGGTTGAAGTTTGTGCAGAGGAGAGAGAAATGTGCAGAACCACAAATTAATTGCTTTAATAGGAAAGTGACAAAATTTTTTGGGACAACAAAAAAGGAAAAGTTGGGGGGAAGAGTTGGGGGGGGGGGGGGGGGGGGGAAGGAAAAAAGTCCAATGGGACGGAAAGAGTATCTATTATGGATAGAATTAGAGCAAGAGACTTGCCTTATCAAACCAAGGATTTTTCCTGTTACATAAAATCAGTAGCATACCAATTTCTCATGCAAATGGAAAACTTCAGTTTTTACAAAGAAAAATGGAAAATTGGGTATATTTTGGTTAATATTTAATAATGAAATATTTTCTGAATGTGAAAAATGCATGAAAATGAATGCTTAATGGTACATACACACCTATTTTCCAATTTATTTCTCAGTTTGTTCCTACAACGACACATCATTTAGGATTTTATTTAACTTTTTTAATAAATCGGGTTGCCATTCAGTTTATTATAATTCTTATATAATTGCTTGTGAATTTGTATTTAGGCACTTCACTCCCGTGCAACGCACGGGTGGAAATACTAGTTACCTTTAATATAAATCAATATAATATATGAATATAAATTTATAAATATTTCCTAATATATGATTATAATCACGGTGGACGAAAAAATGATTTAGTAATTTTTAATGACTACAAATATGCTCAATTTGTTTAGCGTAGTGGCCATGAAAATATATCTATGGCAACTCTAGTCATATTTTTCTCTAAATTTTATTTCATAATATTTTTAAGAAACCTATATTATTTTATTTATATGCATCTTAAATAAAATATTAAGATAATTATCTTCTTTGGATTTCAATTGTTGGTGATTTTGGAGACTAACATTTGTGTTATAATTTGCGGTTTGTATTTTGGATTAATTTTATTTGAAAATAGGTGTTAAAATATAAAAGAACAATGAGATATTTCACGTCACCAAAAACGCAAACCCGAACTGAACCCACACTACCAAAAACCCGACTCGGACCGAATATATTGGATTTTGTTCTGGTCCCTAATTTTCATAAACCAAGACCTTACGAGTAATTTCCAGGTTTAGCAAAAACCCGACCCAGATCAGACCGATCCCACCTATAATAATTATCCACATCTGGTTTAATCTGATATGACACTAAAACCAATTCAAATAAAAACCAACCAACAAAATTAATAAATGGCATTACTCTCTTTGATGTTACAAGTGTGAGTTATTTTTGTTACTTTCTGTTGATAATATTATGTTAATAATATCACACAATATCTAGATTTTGACAATTTGACATAAGCATTTGACATTGCGAGTAAAAGTAACCAAAAATAAACATGTGAAAAGAAAAGAGATAAATTATATCCCTCGAGACACATGCATTTTCAACACTTTTGCCTTGATGATGCTCTAAGTTATATGACTTATATCCCAAAACCTAGTTTTCCAGTCCTAGTTTGAAAACCGGCCAGTCCCAAGACCATGTCCATGTAGACAGTCCACCCCTACCTCTAAGGTAGTCCCAGAACACGGTATTGTACAAGAGGACTTCAAAAGATCCTGCACCTTATAAGATTGTTGTAGTAGATGATAAAACAAAAGGTTGATTCCTACTACGTTCAAAAGAAATTTGGCATAAGCGTAAGGCAAAAGAGCTCAGGCCACTTTGAGCAAACCATATCCTGTTTAATGAAATAGCAACCCACTCCTAGGCAATTCACTACGCATAACAATAATAAGGTAAACTTCGCCCACACAGTGATACAGAGTTATCTTCAGCTAGAAGTAAAATATTGATTATAAGTTCCCCCAGTTTGATGAAGCATTGCATCAATTTCATCACCATCTTCCATCTCTAGCTGAAATAGCACAAGGTAAAATGAGAATTGCGTCCAGCAATGATTGGAACTCAAACAAGACACCAGATAGGGGGTGAAGATGAAGAATTTTTATCATTTATTGTTAAAAATAACAACAAAAATTAAATTTGCTTAAACCTATTTAAGAATTTATATATTGCAGACATATTGCAGAAATATCTGAAATGTACTCATTGGATCTAAAACCAAGTACTCCGTAATATTTATTTCTCAACAAATTTATTTCCATCCAAATTTTCTGTCTGTTCTTCCTCTTTTGCACTTTTTGGGTTTCAAATGGACCAAAAGAAGATGCATAAAAAAGAAGTCACCATGCAAATTTATCTGATCCCACACAGTCTATTATGTTCACCATGTGGTTGATTTTGTATCAGATATGCAAATAAAATGCAAATGAAAGGGGAGGAGGGAGGGAGGGAGGGTGAGACTTCATCTGGAGTCTGATCCGCTCGAAGACGTCGCCCATCAAACAGGAAAGCTATTGAAGTAATTTCAACAGACTGTCGGTCACAGTATGCATTCATTAGCTTCTTTAGTTGAGTGCTCCTTTTAATCCTGAAGAAGACTTCATTACCATCCTACATACAAACACAGATAATTTGATGCAAGTTCAGGAAGAAGAAACCAAGAGGTGAAGGATCCAAGACTGCCATATTACCCTATATTCCACATGCATTTTGTATTGCAAGAATGGGCAAACGAAACGAACCAATGAAAACAATGAGTTAGGGTGGATATATCATGGATATTAGGCACACAGCTAAGAACAAACCATCCAAAAAAATCAGAAGCAAAGAAGTTACCAACAAGTGAATGGAAAGCAAGAAGCATGCACAATCATTCTATAAAATGTCACCACCTTCATCCCAAACAATGACTCATTGAGTTCCATTAGCAGGGCTAATTTCAGGGTTACAACCAAGACTCTTTACACGAGAGGCAAGTATTATACATTAGAGGTCAGTTTAAGTCATTCAGAGATGGGATCTGAGGGGTTTCAGAGGAGTAGGGGTTGGCAGGATAAATGTACATCTTGAGATAAATTTGAGAGAGCATTTATTAAGATTGAAGGAATTAAAAAATATGTGATAGTACAATTTCTCAAGAACCCTTCAATTTTTTAGAAACTTCCTATTCATAGATATAGAGCAAGTCCTCCAAGTCCTTCCACACAATAACCCTTCATCCAACAAAATCGTCCCCTAAATGAGATCTATATTGACCTTTACGGGAGTTCAGTGAAAAGAAACACAAAGTTCAAACCTGCAAAAGAATATTTTAATTTGAAGAACCATTGCAATCAATAACTATCTCGCCATTGATTTGAAAGCTGTGTAGTGCATGCAATTCCAGAGGCACGCAGTTCTCTTAAACCTTAGTTGGCGAATGCTGTAATACTTCTCTATAATCCGAAAAGGACTAGTGCAAATAATCGACCTAGTTTAACTCCCAAAGACACAAACCTAACCCTCTAATTGATTCGCTACTTTGGATTACGTTCACAAATTGAAGACAGGCATAGATTCATGAGATGAAATCAAGCAGTAGCAACGCAAAACATACAACATCAAACTATCAACCCTTAAATTTTCCACGAACAAACCCTAAATTAAAAAGCAAATACACAAAGACGCAATATATAGAGAAGCTAAAGGGATGAGAGGAAGCAGAAAACCTGTCCTTTGACTTTAAGGTTAATGTGCTGACCAGCTTCCCCGGCTGGGGTCGGCTTCTTCTCTGCCTCCGGTCCCTGAGACATTTTCTCTTCTCAGTTCTCCCCCTCTTCTCTAATACTCCAGCCTTTCGAATCTGAGCAAACAAAGACGGCTGCGATTATTTTTTGCATTTATACTACCTGTTAGCGTTAAATCAACGCTATATATTTTTCTGTATTTTGAAAAAAAAAAACGAACAACCTAACAAATATTACAGCCTTTTAAAATTGAGCGATGCAGCATGGATATTTTCTTTTTTTTGGACTGTAATTTGCTGGTCTAGTCTGATCTGGTCCGATCTGGTCTGGTCTAATCTGGTCTGGAACTGAAAATAGTCCAAAAGAAAACATTCCAAGTAACAAATCTTGCTCAAAACTATTAAATTAAATAAAGAATAAATAAAGTCTTTCGGATGAAAGAACAAATCTTTTTTTTGAGAATATTTTTATTAAGGAATCATTTTCAAATAGTAAGGACATACTACCTCCGTCCCTGAAACAACTTCTCATTTCGGATTACGATGTTTGATTGAAGATAAATTAGTGTGATCTCTGTTTGCATTCAAATTATTCCTAGTAAACAAAATTTATACATCAGAAATTACATTAAAATCACTACAAAGTCTGATAAAAAATTGTAAATTTGATAAAAAAAATTGATATATAAAGCAAAAGATTAAGAGTGATTCAAATTAACAATGTAAATAGTGAATGAGAAACTAAATGTGGGATCGAGAGAGTAATTAATTTCAAAGATACTAAATGATACTTAATATGACATGTGTTAATAAGCAATGCATAAGAGCATCACCATTCCTAATCCCGTAAAAATCACACTTTCTAGCATTCTTGCCTTTTAAATATTCTTACATAATTAATTTTTAAATAATCTCAAAATCCATTTATGTCTCCCAACCATCATCTTCAAATAATCCGCTTTTTTCTCCGTCCAACATTAACGTATTACACATACTTTTCAAATAATCTTAAGATAATCCGGATTCATATTTTGATCCCGGATTATTCTAGCAAATAATCTCATTAAATAATCAATGTCTCCCAATGATACTTCTCTAAAAAATCTGCCAATGTCACTAATTTGATCCCTCAATAATCCTAACAAGAGGATGCCCTAAAATAACATATTTATTTCACGTACATATTTACTTCACGTAGTTTACCACATAATTTAACATTGAAACGTACCAAATAACACTATACTGTAAAGGCAGACGCATTAATATGCACATATACAATATAATATAAAATATAATACAATATAATGTAATGTAATGTAATGTAATGTAATATAATGTCATGTCATGTCATGTCATGTCATGTCATATTATTCTCATTTTCCTTAATGGAAAGTTATCTTACATCTAAACGGTGTCATGTCATGTCATGTCATGTCATCTCATGTCATGTCATGTCATATCATATCATATCATATCGTATCGTATCGTATCGTATCGTATCATATTATTCACATTTCCCTTAATGGAAAGTTATCCTACATCTAAACAGTGTCAAACAGTGCAAAACAGTACCAAACAGTGCCAAACAGTGTCTAAACAGTGCCAAACAGTGTCTAAACAATAAAGTCAAATTTATTTCCTAAATATGTGTGTAGGCCAAAGTAGGAAATTAATAGCGGGACGGAGGGAGTATAACTTTTTCATTTTTGCTTCAATGTTTACAAAAAATATATTAAAATTCAAATTTTTTTGTGATCTTTCATATGAGATCAATATTCAATATATAAAAATATAATTTATTAATAATCTCTATAATTATTCTTAAAATTATTTATATTTATATATTGCATCCATTCCATAAAAGTTGGAAGCTGTTCTCTTTAGGGGTGTGAACGGGTCGGGTTCGGGCGAACCCTAAACCCCTTCGGGTTTTTTAATTTAAATACTAGGCCCGACCCTTTGATATTTCTAATCGGGTATTTCAGATATTTTTAAGTCGGATATTATCGGATATCGGGTCGGGTTTCGGATATTTCGGTTATATTAAAAAAATTATAATTGGATAATTAATGTGTTTAAATGCCACTTTGACAAAAATCGTACACACTAGTGCACTAAACCTCCAAATTACACAAATAATTAAACACAAGTGTTAATTTAACATATTCAAAGTACACACTACATAATTTAATATATTTTGGATATTTTGATTATATCAAAACACATTATAATTGGATAGTTAAAGTGTTGGAATGCCACTTTAACAAACATTGTACACACTAGTTCACTACACATTCAATTCACACAAATAATTTAATACAAATTGCACAAATAATTACACAAATAATTGAACACAAGTATTAATTTAAATATTCAAAGTACACACTAACATATATTTTGGATATTCGGGCGGGTCGGGTTGGGATTCACAAACCCTACCCGCCACCCGGTCTAGGCCCAATACTAATCGGATTTTCGGTTTCGGGTTTTTCGGGTCGGATATCCACTTCGGTTCGGATAATATCCGAAAAAAATATCGGGTTTTTCGGGTCGGATCGGGTTTTGCTCAGCCCTAGTTCTCTTCATCATCTGATCTGAAAGTTTTTTATATGAATTTATTAAGTTCTGATCTGATCTGATCTGAATTTTTCTGATCTGATCTGAATCTTTTCTGATCTGATCTGAATATTTCTTTAATTAAAATTATACTTATTATAATTATAATTGTAATTATAAATATAATTTAAATATAATTTATAATGATAGTCATAATTCTAAAAAATTATAATCATAATTATAATCTTAATTATAATTATAATTAAAGTTCTAAAAAATTATGCCTACTACACTAATTATAATTATAGCTATAATTTTAATTGTAATTATACTTTTAAATATAATTATTCCTATAATAATTATCGTATAATATTTATATTTTTAATTATAATTATAATTACTCTGTATAATAATAAAAATAAATAATAATAATAATGATGATGATGATGATGATGATGATGGAGTATATGGCCCGGGAACCCACGGCCCACAGACTCCTACTAATCTATCACAGGCCCAACAAGCCCAAGGAGCTCAGGAAGCCCAAGATTCGGCGGCCCAAGTGTCAAGAAGCCCACAAAGCACACAGTGGTGCCTTCGGCCTCCTTGGCCGAAGGCTCCAAAACTCACAGAACAACCATTTTTGGGCATACGAAGCTACTGGGAGAAAACGACAGAAAATGGGAGCCTTCGGGACTATGGAGCCCTCGGCATCAGAGAAGCCTTCGGCTGAACCAAGCCTTCGGCTACACAGAGCCTTCGACATATAGTGCCCTCGGCTGCAAGGAGAGCCTTCGGCTGAACAGACTCAATCATCGAAGATTCCCTTTGGAGACAGCCAACCACCGCATTTAATGCGACGTCACATCCGCCCACCGCATTTAATGCGGTGAACGTGCGATTGCCGGTGCCACCCTGATTGAGGTGACCCCTCGGCCGTTGGATCGTCGCCACGTGTACTCTCATCGCATTTATTACTACTATAAATAGCAGCCCCTTTCCCCATTGTAAAGGACCAGAACATCTCGAGTTCATTAATACAATCGCCTCTCTCTCTCCTACTTGTTTGCTCTGACTTCTCTCTAGGTTATTCTCACAATAACCCCCCGGATAAGCTACCCCCGGGTACACTGTCCATCAAATAACAATAATAATAATAATAAAGCTTATAAAAATAATAATTATAATAGTAAAAATAGTAATAATAGTAATAATAAAAATAATTACAATAATAATAATAACATCAACAAAAACAATAATAATAATAACGGCGACAACAACGACAACAACAATAATAATAATTTAATAATAATAATAATAATAATAATAGTAATGATGATGATGATGATGATAATCACCTCAATAATAATCATACTATTAATAATCATAATATTATTATTATAATTAATATTATTATTATTATTATTATTATTATTTTATAATAATAAAAGTGATAAATCATGTTTGAAAATTTCTGATCTGATCTGATCTGAATGCTTCTGATCTGATCTGAATGTTTCTGATCTGGTCTGATCTGATCTGAATTAGGGCTGGGACTTTGGAACCAAAAACCGGAGAACCGAACCGGACCGAACCGTTATGACCCGTTTCGGTTCGGTTCCAACATTTATTAGTTATTTGTTAACGGTTCAGTTCCTATTTTTTATTAACGGTTCGGTTCTTGGTTCCTGAAAAAAATATGTACCAGGAACCGTTAAAGAACCGTTATATATAATAATTAAAATTATATACACTTCTTATGAGTATATATTTTAATATATTTTTATTTATTTATTTTTATATTACATTCATTAATTTAGTTTAGTTATTTAACTATTTAAAACTATTATTTACTTCAACCGGTTCTCTTAGGCTTCTTAGGCCTCGCATTTGGTCCAAACTCCAGCGGCTCGAAATTCGGAAGGTCTAAACTATTTAAAATTATTATTCTCTTTAACTCGTTCAACATATTTATATTGTAATTTCAAACGTTGAATGTCGTTTTAGCAAAAAATTTGTCGTGATTTGTAAGATTTTTTTCAAAGACTAGGAACCGTTAAATGACAAGAACCGAACCGTTAAGAACGGTTCGGTTCCTTATCGGTTCTATGAAATAATTTATAAGAACCAAACCGTTAGTAAATTTTTATAATTTCAAACGGTTCCACGTATTTTGCATAGGAACCGAACCGGTCCCAGGCCTAATCTGAATCTTTCTGATCTGAATCTTTCTGATCTGATCTGTATTTTTCTGATCCGATCTGATCTGAATAAAATAAGAATAAACAATAACTAATAAGAATAAGACGAATAGAACAGCTTCTTGGCCAAAATTGACTTGCACGTAGAATAATAAAATACTGATTGTGTGGTTGATATTTTTGTAGAGAAATGAGAAATAACTTTAACCACATATTTCTTATTTTAAGTGGAAATGACAATGTTTTTTGGAATGACCAAAAATTGAAAGTTTGTCATGTTTTATGGGACGAAGGTAGTATATGAAAGTAGTAGGTTATTAAAAATACTGTTTTACCCCAACTATTAAGCAACATGCCTAC